TTTGTTTCTTTTTCCTTCTTTCAATAGCCCTACACGGTATGTTCAGTGCTGAGGGAACTGAGGCTCCAAGAGGTTAAATAATGTGCCCCATGTCACACAGCTGAGAAAGCAGAATGTGGATATGTATCCAGGTCGATGTGGCCCCAAAGCCTATGCATTGAACCATTAGTATGTATTGCCTCCCAGAGTGGAGTCTGAGGTTCAGAGAGGTGAAGTTATTTACCCCAAATTCCATGGTTTGCAACAGAGTTGGGATGCCCATAGAGGTCTGAAGATTTTTCACTGGGCTGTGAAAGGGAGCGCTCATAATGGCAGGGCGATGGGGGGGGGCGGTGAGAGACAGGAAGGGTGGGGAGAGAAAGGGTCCTCTCTGTGCAAACGTCGGGGTTTGCTAGAACTTGCCCAGAGTTTGAGGTTTTCTGACATGGAGAGAGGTAGACGTTTTTAATTATCTGTCCCTAGGGGGCTGCTGCTGGCGAGCAGGCCCCTGCCTTCCAAGCTGTAGGGTTTGGCCTGCCCAGGCAGCTTGGATTAGCTGGATCTTTTGTGCTGTCCCAGTTGCCAAGCAACACCATCCCTCCTGCGCTCACTGTCAGGAACAGCTCTGGTTACTGGTGACAACTCCCAGGGGAACACCTGGAGAGATCTGGAGGCAGGAGGCAGAGAGGCTAAGCCCTTCTCCTTACAGGTTCACCTGGAAGTGGAGTGGGTATCCCCTAGCTCTCTGGTGTGCCTTTGGGAACCTGTCTCCCCTGTGCCTCCACTGTGGGCTCAGAAGTACAGGACCCACAGGCACACAAGGAAGGTGGCACAGGCATGGGCAGCACCTCGGCACAGGCAGGGCCTTTGAATGAGTCTGGCTACAGGAAATTGGTGGAAATTCCTGCCTCTGCATCTGAGCCCCAAGAAGAGCAGGAGCATGTGTATGTGTGTGTGTGGCCATCCAATCCATCACTGAATAGGCAATATTGTCAGGAAGGTGGACAACTCACCCACCTTCCATCGCTCCCTTGTGAAAAGTCCCACACTTCTCCACCTGAAGATGGGAAATGCCTCCTTGTTGTGGAGTCATGGGGTAGAGAAGTCCTAACTCCCTGGCTGTGCCTAGCCCACTGACGGATTTAGGGAGAAATAATTGAGTGGTTTAACTGTTAGATAATTTAAAGCATTAGAGCAATACTTTTATCATTTTAAGGAGAGGGGTTTTTTTTAAAGGACTAGGTATCTTAAAGGCATAGAATTGGAATGCCCATGATCATAATTTGTAACATATCATTACCATATGCTGGGAGAACAGCCTCCCATGCCCCAGTGGTCTGCAAAAGTCTGTTCAAGTTGCTCTCAGATATCCGGAGGGGGGGGGTATCTAGAGGGGGCATCAGAGTGTGCAGGCACCCCCTTGGATCCAGGGGCCATGAGTGCAGTGACTGAGTAAGCTGCAACATGAGAGGTGTGGGCATGGGAGTGGGGTGCAGCCCTGGAGTAATGAAGCCAGCAGCCCCCATCCCATCCCCAGTCCCTCAGGCTCCTAATGCTCTCTGTGGGATCCTTAGCAGAAGACACCAAGGAGTGGATCCTGGCTCTTCCTGGTGCAGGCTGCAGAAATCCCAGCGCACTTTCTCTGGGCAAGTCTTGGGCTCCCAGAACCTAGGGAGGCTGCCATGGGCGTGGTGTGGCTGCGAGCTGCCTCAGCCACTCAGGCTTGTGAGTGGGATAGTCCCTCAGACACTCACACCATAAATGTCCAGACACAGAGTCACTTTGGAACTGTCCTCTGCAGGCCAGGCAGCGCCTGCTCACAGGGAAGGCTGGGTAATCTGAGCTGCTGGCAGGCCCTCAGGTCACTTCAGACACAGTCAGCTGATGCTCCTGGGGCCATTCATCATGCCCCCAGCCCAGCCCAGCCCTGCCATGGCTATTTCCAGTCTCTGGGTATGAAGCAGATTATATAACAGGCTGGAAGCCAGGGGCTGGACTATATGCTCAGTAGGGGCACTGTGGCAAGGGATGGGGCATCTCCCACCCCCACTGCCAGGCCAGCCTCTCAGAGCCCCATTCTCCCTGTGGAGATGTGGGGTGGGGGAGCTACACATCTGGTGGAATCCCTGTGGACTGCCTGGTGTCTGCCAGCACACTTTTCACCCCCTCTCTCCCAACCTGGCCCAGAAGGTGGCGCAGCCTCCTTCCCCCCAGGAATTTGAAGCCACCAAGTAGCTTCTTCTTTACCCACTCAGCCCTGCATAGCTCCTGTTCTCTCTCTCTCCTGTGACCCTCAGAGGAAGAGGTGGGTGCGTTTGCTGCTGACCCCACTGAGAGAACCCCGTACCCATGTCTGCAGCCCCTTTCTGACTCTGGTGGGGCCTGAAAGTTTTCACTGGGTGGTTAAGCAGGATTCAAATACACTTTTTCACATTGTGGCTTTGTAAACTTGTTGGGCTTCAGTATGCATCTGGGAAATAGAACAATATCTTCTTCTCAGTACAGTTGTGGCCATGAGGGCTAAGGAGCTCATTCCAGGAGACACAGTGCTCAGGTCTGAGTCTCAGCCCCACCCGTGTGGCGTGGGCAGGCTACTGAGGCTCTCTAGGCCTCAGTTTCCTCCCGAGCAGATGTAGAAAGAGATACCACCCAGCTCCCAGAGCCGCGAGGATCCCGTGAGGCTCTATGCATAAGTCACTTACACAGCGCCTGGCACAGGTCAGCACCGTCTAAGTGTTGGCTATAATTAGACAATGTTTGGAGATCACGTTCCTCAGCCGTGGCTCCTAATAAGCTCTTGGTGAGAGGTAGATGTTATTTTTAGCTTCTTCTTTCTCCTTCACCATCTTCATCCTCTTTATAAACCCACGTTTATTCAGCTGTGCAGTTCCTTGTAAGTGCCATCTAATCGCTCCTCTTTTGTTGCTAATCTGCTGCCACCACCAATAAAGACCTGTATAAATTATATTTGCCTGGTGTTCACCTTCACAAAATATTTCACAGGCACTCCCGCCTGGGTCTCACAGCAAACCTGTGACAGCAGTGCAGCTCGTGTCATCGCCCTCATTTTTGCCGCCGAGCAGGGACACGGTGTGATCTGTCCAGAAGCATCAGCTGCTAAAGGGTGTGCCCAGAAGAGCGGTCAGGGTATTCCGACCTCCGCCGCGGGAGCACGTGGCCTCGAGGATGTGGCCAGGGCATGCCAGCTCTGCGTTGCCAGGGCAGATTAGCGCAGGGGGCCCTCCCGCTTCCGGTCCCAGCCAGATTGCTCAGCGCCCACAGAGAGGGAGGAGAAAGGCCTTCGGGATTTATAAATATCTCCCATCCTAGCCCCAGCCCAGAGACCCCTAAATGCTGTGTGGTGGTGCCCTCTACTGGACAGAAGTGGCCTCCACTGGACTGCTGCCTCTGAAGGGAGAAAAGGGAGGGCAGCCTCTGTTCACATTCACACAAAAAATCTCTCCATGGCCTGCTATGTGCCAGGAGGTCTTCTAGGAATCATAGAGGAGGGGGGAAAACCTCACAAAAACCCTACTCTTCATGCTGATACATCGGGCAGGGATGGGGGTGCTGAGTACAGATAAAAATGTAGAATATGAGGCTATGTAACGAGAAGTGCTATGAAGAAAAAGAGAGCAGGTGAGTGGCTAAAAAATGACAGAAATTGTTAATTATAGAGAAACATGGGTGGGATCCTAGGGAAGTGAGGAAAAGGATCCTATCTGGGGACAAGGCCAGCAAGGCAGAAGGTGAGCTGGAGGTGCTGAGAAGGGGAAACTCTGGGTGCAGACTGAAGGGACAATGAGACCCATGTGGCTGAGTGCAGAGCTGGGGAGAGAGCGAGCTCAGAAATGGGTATGTCTCCTTTCTTTCTCTGGAGGTGCAAGAAATAATTCTCCTCCCCCCCTTTTAAGTTCTTCTGCTGGGCTAATAATCATTCTTAACACGAGATAGATTAACAGGAGAAAACTTTCAGAAATTCATTATGGACACATATGCCGGGGGTGCCATGAGACCGGAAGATGCACTGGGCAGTTAAGGTTTATATGACATTTTGGACAAAGAAGACAGGGAGCGGGGTCTAGGATTTTAACAGAAAACAGGTAATTTACAAGTAGATGAGAAAGAGCAAACAGTTGGTAAACAAGTCCTCCCGGGTCACCCAGAAGCAATGGGATGCTGAGGGAGTCCAACACACAGGTATCTGCCATATGTAGCTCATATATGATGCTAGGGTGGTGCTCCCTTCCTTCAAGCAGGTTTTTCTATCTGAATCTCTTTAGGCAGGTTGCGGGTTGGGAGTTGGTGGTGTCAGAATTCTTTATGTCTTTTGTCTCTTTTTCTTTTCTTTCTTTATTTTTATTTTGCTGTTGTTTTATTACAGTCTTCCCAAATTTTCCCCCATTGCTCTCCACTGCCCCGCCACCCCTCATCTCCCACAGTTAATCCCCATTCTGTTGTCCATGTCCATGGGTCCTTTATACATGTTCTTTGACTCAACCCTTCCCCTTCTTTCCACCCTTCTCCCCTGCCACTCCCTCCGGTTCCTTGTTTCTGTGTCTCTGGTTCTATTTTGCCCATTTTGTTGATTAGATTCCTGTTATGGGTTAGCATAATGCTCTCCAGTTCCATCCATGCTGTCGCAAAGGGTAGGAGCTCCTTCTTTCTTTCTGCTGCATAGAATTCCATTGTGTAAATGTACCATAGTTTTTTGATCCATTCACTTACTGATGGTCACTTAGTCTGTTTCTAGCACTTGGTTACTGTAAATAACACTGCTCTGAACATAGAGGTGCATAAGTTCTTTGAATTAAAAATATGCTGATGTGGCTCAGTGGATTGAGTGCTGGACTGAAAACCAAAGGATTGCCAGTTCAATTCCCAGTCAGGGCACATGCCTGGGTTGCAGGCCAAGTCCCCAGTTGGGGGGGGGGTGAGAGGCAACCACACGTTGATGTTTCTTTTCCTCTCTTTCTCCCTCCCTTCCCTTCTCTCTAAAAGTAAATAAATAAAATCTTAAAAAATATATGGAACACTTCACGAATTTGCGTGTCATCCTTGTGCAGGGGCCATGCTAATCTTCTCTGTATCGGTCTAATTTTAGTATATGTACTGCCAAGCAAGCAGTTTCTTTTTCTTTTTAAATTCATTATTTTTACTTTTCAATTACAGTCGACATACATTATATTAGTTTCAGAACTACAACATAGTGATTAGACACTTATATAAACTCGCAAGGTGATCACTCCACTATGTCTAGTATCCACCTGACACCATCTTTTGTTTCTTAATAACCAGTTTAAAATCAATACCTCAAAAGGCATCATTTTAGGATGGCAAAACTTTGGGCCCCTTTATTACTGTTACGGCGCATGTGAGAGGGAGCGTAGGTGCACACTCCCAGCACCACGCGGCTGCGAGCGTCCTGCTCCAAACACAAACACGTTAACATCGACTAACAAGTGCTGAGCTGGCTGTGTCTGAGGCTTAGCCACAGCCTGATAAACTGGTATTCCTGGCATTATTGCCACTTTGCAGATGAGGAACAGGCTGAGAAAGGTAGAGGTTATGCAGTTTGCCCAACGATGGAAATATAAAGTCACAGAGCAGGGACTTAAATCTGGGTTTGTCTGACTCCAGAATCCAGGTTTTTAATCAATAATCGTGCACTTGGAGAAAAAAGGGGGGCAGTACATAAGACAGCATGCAGAGTATGGCAAAACATCAAACTGTGTTGCCCTCCAAGGATGGATGAATGATGCCCTCTTTCCACTGCGGGACAGGCAGGGACGGGGGAAAGATTATTAACCCCCCGAAGGCAGGAGAGAACGCCCTTGGCATTTACCACAATCACACCCTCTACCCGGATACTCCCTCTGGGTTTACCAACTGTCTTCTTTTACTGTCTTACACTTAGTCTTCACAGCTGCTATATCACAGGGTAGGAACCCAAGCTTCAGGGGGTGCGGGGACTCAGATAGTTTGTAGCATAGCTGGGACCAGGACCGACATCTATATATTCCGTGTCCTCCAGGATTCAGGTCAAAGAAAGAAGACGGATAGGAGTCCAAGAGGGACAAGGGAGGTCTGAAACCTGGCAGTCAAGGGGGCAGGGCGAGGACGCGAGGAAGAAGTGAAGCAGTACCCGAGTCTTCCCAGAAGAGGGCGACGCCTCCCCAAAGGTCCGCAAACCTGCTGGGGCCACAGCCCAGGCGTGGACCGACCCCTCCCGAGGCCCAGGGAGCCGGGAGGAGCGTGGGGGTTTCGTTGCCTGGATTCTGAAGATGTGGGGGTGTGGAGATGCTGTGGGGCAAGGGAGGGAGGAAGAACCCTCAGGGGTGGTTGCCCAGTGGGTTCCGTGTAGGTATCTGTGATGGGGTCAAGTGTGCTGGGGCGGCTGGGAGAGTGAGGCGTGAGCTTAGCTGGAGGTGCCGGTAAGCGTGGGCAAGGAGAAGGTCCTGGCGTGGGCGAGGGACGGGGTGCAGAATGTCTGTGGGACTTCCTGAAGCGGCAAGATTTGCTGCTTGGGAGAGGCAGTTACTCACTCAGGCTTTGCCAACTGTTTCCCTTCCAGCTTCCAAACACCACCCAGAGTCCCCATTGCCACCCCCGCCCCAGCTAATAGCAGCTGTGCCCCCAGACTGGAAACTGCCTCTGCAATTTCAGCCCTCAGCCTCATGCTGGGCGGAGGTGGGGAGGAGGGTGCCCAGCTGACTCCATCCAGCTCCTGCCACCCCCCCAACCCACTCAACCAAGCCCAGAACTCCAAGATCAGTCCTGCAGCCCCTTGGCAGCTCATGGGGCTGCTCTCCACCAGGCACCACCACCAACCAGTCTGACCTCTCCTTGCTGACCCCCAACTATTGGTCTAGACTTCTCAGCCCCAACCTCTTCTCCCCTCCCCTCACCCTTGAGCATTGGCTACACCCGGCAAGTCCTGGATACCTGGGTTGTATCCCAACCCCTGCCTCTAACAGACGTGTCTAATGGGACCTCTTTGCCCCCCAGAACTTCCAGGCTGTGGGGGTGATGGCCACCACACACACCAAAACTTACACCCATGGTGACGCCCAAAGTGGCTCTCTGCAGTGGGAGGCACCGGTCCTCAGCCACCGGAGGATGACAAGGAGACAACCTCAGAGGGGTCTGAGTTCTGGCAGTGTTTGGAGTGCCAGGGTTCTAGGAGGAGGGAGCCCAGAGCTCTCCAGAATCGTCTTCATTCAACATCTAGTCCATAAATCCTTACTGAGCATCTGGGGTGTTTTTAAAAATACCGATGCTCCAATGCACCTCAGAACTCCCTACTCAGGACAGCCCTACCTACTGTTAAATGAGCCCCCAGCAATTTGTTGCAATAGCTGGTTATCACCGGTCTTGCATTCACTTCACCAGAGACTGCCTTCCTCAGTCAGCGTGAGAGTAGAGGGAGCTACAGGTGGGGCCTGGGAGGTCTGTCACTCTGACAGGTGGGGAGGGGCATGGCGGTGCTCAGTGGACCTGGCCCTCTCTGAGGGGAGCTGTTAAGTGACTCTGTCGGGTAGCAGCAAGGAATGAGGACCAGAGGGGTAGTATTTGCATAATTTTTACTTTTTGCGTAGAATTATTTGTTCTCTACTGAAAGGCTAAACCCCCAGAACAGAATATTCACCGTGGTTGGGGTGGGGGGTCTCCCTTAGAGCACAATTTTTTGTCTTAGAGTTTTGTATGTGTGCTTCTTCCCCTCTCCCCACACCCCAGGCCATGAGCCTTTAGACCACGTGGGCTTCCGACAGAGAAGGTGTGCTGGTTGAAATAAGTTTCGTTTGATAACTGAAGCTCTGGACTCACTGTTACTCTATTCAGACACACTGCCTTCCATCCGTGTTGTTTGCCTGCCCACTCGATGCCAAGCTCGGCGAGGGTCAGAGAGGTTAAGATGGGTTGTCGGGTCTGGAGGAGACTCCACTTTCTGCTCGTGGGGCAGGGCTGGGGAAGGGCAGAAGAGGCAGGCTCTAGGAGTGAGAGCTGCTTTCCCAGCACCCAACTGCTGCTCCACTCTGGTCTGTAAGGTCAGAGCTGAGGTGCAGTGTCCCAAGGTCACCACCAGGGGCCAGGTGCACCTGCTCCACTCTCCAATGAATGTCTCAGTTCCTGGATACTTTATTCTATTGAGGAAGCCTCATTGGTCCCCTGTCCTGTCCTCTCCACAGCCCCAGGTTCCCCTCCCTCCCTCCCTCCCTCCCTCCCTCCCTCTCTCTCTCTCTCTCTCTCTCTTTCTCTCTCTCTTTCTCCTCTTTCTCTCTCTCCCTCCCTCCCTCCCTCTCGCTTCTTGTAGCCCTTCACTTCCTCCTTTAGGTCATCCAATATAGACATCAGTGCGGGACCAGGCAGCCTCCCAAAAACACAGCCTGACATTTCTCTTGACCCTTGGGGAGCCCCACAACCTCCAAGTTCCCCATCTTCATGAGTGACTGACTGGTGATCAGGGAGTGCCTTCTATTGTCTCACCTCTTCTCCTCCTGCTGCCATTCAGCTCAAGGTCTCTGGTTTTGTCTATGAGCAAACCAGAGTGTGAGGTTCCCTCCTCACAGGGTTCCTTATGTGGGTCAACAAAGCTTGTGGCCAAGGCCAAGCCTCTTGTTTGGTCCCTGAAACCTGGTCCCAAGAGGTCCCTGCTTTGATGGGCACGCTCTCGCCTGGCTGCAGGATGGCACTCACACTGCGGAACCCTGTCCCCTCTGACCCCACCCCCTCCTCCTTCTGCTGTCTAGCCCATCGCAGAACCTGCTCCTTCAGGTCCCACCTTCCATATACAATCTGTGCTCCCACTTTCCCCCCAAAAGGGAGTCCCACAGCTTTAAAGATTTAGCTCCTCTAAAGAGTCCTTTCCCACCTTGACCCTGTCCTCGCACTCCTTCCTCCAGGAAGCCTTCCCACTCTGCAATCCAAGCTCTAGGGACAAACAGATATGAGAGGATGCTGGCTCTGCCAGGTGCTGCCTACCTTAACCTCTCTAACCTCAGTTTCTGCATCTGTGAAACGGGGACACAATTCACGGCTCTCAGATATGCTGTGAGGCCTAAGTGAGGTGATTGGTGTGGAAGTGCTGACTTAGCACAGCGCTGGGTGCACAGCAGGTGCTGAGGGAGATACTCCCCTGACCTTCCCTTAAGGGAAGCCACCCCCACTGTTCCCCAGCTCTGGCCTGCTGATGGGAACCTTTGCGCACTGGGTGCTTCGGTCCTTCCCCAAAACTCCTGGGCAAAGGGGAAAGAACCAGGGGTCTCAGGAAAGGGCAGCCGCCGTGCTGAGGAGATGGGGCAGCCTCAGGGCTGTGTGGGGGGCTCAGACCAGAGTTGTACCTGCAGGGCTGTGTCCTCCCATTTCAATGCCCAAGGCCTGGAGTGGTATCTACTCTCCTCCTCCTCTCTGGAATTATCAGGGGCCCCTTCTGTCCTAGGGATGGGGAAGGGCTCCCCAGAGTCCTCTGAGGCTCTGAGAGGACCAGAAGGCCAGTCGGAGGTGAAGGAAGGGAGGCAGAGCAGGAGGAATAACGACCACACAGTATTGTGAGTGCTTGCTCCTTTCCTACCCACCCCCACCCCTCCACCAAACACGATCCCTGGATTAATTTTTAGCATCGCAGCTCACACATTAGTCACTCCCTGTCACCCACCTACACGGCAGGAGGCTGCTGTGCCGGTGCCATCATCCTATCAGCTGAGAGGTGGGATCCAGCCCCACCCTGGGTACCCCCTCTCTCTCCTCTGGGTGCACACGGCTAGTGGCTAGCCAGGAGCCCCCTTTGGCCTGGGCAAGGGGTGCTGACTTCACTCCCGGGACAAGCTGCATGGGGGCGGGGTGGGGGGAGAACCAGCTGGTAGGAAAGTGGCTGGGCATCTATTCTGGGAGGAGAAAGCCAGGGAGGCCCTTACAGTCCCCACCCCCAGTAAGGTACCAGTTATGCTCAGGCATCTGGTCTGCTGAGAGCCCTGGGCTCTGGGAGCAGAGATGTGGGCCCCTCTCCTAGACCTGAGCCCCTGGGAGTGGCTTTGTCATCACAGCAGAGCAGCTGTTCAAACAGGGAGCTTAGGGAAGCTCCATTTTCTTAATCAAATGGCCTCCCTTCCCTGGACCAGGGAGGGTAGGGCAGCCAGGTGTAGGTGCCTTCTCTGGAGTTGACACCCAGCCCCCAAGGGATTGTGTGAGAGGGGCCCACAGAGGCCAACTCCAGATGGGGCAGGGGAAGGGCTGAGAGGTGGGGGGGCAATGGCCACCCCTATACAGGGCTGGCCCCAAGGTGACATTCCCATTTATTGATTGTCTGCTGTGTGCCAGGCTGTTAGGCCCTGGAGGTACAAGGTAAACAAGGAGGTTTCCTGCCTTAGGAAGGCACAATGCAGACAGACGCAGAAGTCAGGCAAATTACCAATCGGTTGTAAGTGCTATAAAGAAAGAAAAATGGAGGGAGGGCTCAAGAAGAATAATAATGGGGCCAGGGAATGGCTTCTGATCAGATCAGGGAAACCTGTCTGAGGAGGACCTGAGGAGGGAGGAATCAGCCTTGGAAAGTAAGAGTATTCCGGGCAGAGAAAACAGCACGGGCAAGGCCAGGGGCAGGGAAGAGCTTGGCATGTTTGAGGAATAGGACTAGAAAGAACAGTGCGGCTTACACATGATAAAGTGACATGGAAGGAGGAACCTTCTGAGCTTGAAGAAAGGCAGGGACCAGATACTGGAGGTCTTCACACATCAGGGCTCCCGATGCGAAATTGCTGGGTCTGGGGGGCTGCTGCAACCCAGAGGAAGGGATGCCTTTTGTAAGTCATCTGTCCAGACGGACACCATGCTATGGATAAGCTATGGAAAACAGTTCGGATCCCATTCTTTTGTTCCGGGGGAGTCACAATGGGTTTTAAGCAGAGGAGGGTTGTGATCTGATTGCCGTTTTAGAAGGCTCACCCTGACTGCTTGCTGTGTGTAGGGATGGCCTGTGGGGAAGGGAGGAGGCAGGGAGCCCACTAGGGAGGAAGTGCAGTGGTGCAGGAGGAAGCGTTAGCCTGGCGGGGGAGGCTGCTGCTAAGACCTCTCACGGCCACCCCTTGCATGCCCGTCACTGTCAGGAAGGAGTTCTGGCACACGAGTCTCAAGTCTCGGGCCCAGCTCTGCCACTTTTTTGTTTTTTAATTTTTAAAAATTGATTTGAGAGAGAAAAACATCGATTTGTTGATCCACTCATTTATGCACTCAATGGCAGATCCTTGTATGTGCCCTGACCGGGGATCAGACCCGAAACCTTGGTGTATGGGACGATGCTCTGACCGACCCAGCCACCTGGCCAGGGCTGCCATTCACTTTCTGTGTGACCCTAAACGGGTCACTTAGAGGTGCTCTGAGCACACACTATATTTACTCATGTTCTACTACACACTGGTTTTAGGCAAGAAATGAGGCAGTGAATAAGACAGAAAGGGTGCCCTGACTGGTGTGGCTCAGTTGGTTGGGTGTTGTCTCAGAAAGCAAAAGGTCTTTGGTTCGATTCCCAGCCAGGGCACATGCCTGGGCTGTGGGTTTGGTCCCAGTCAGGGTGCGCACAAGAGGCAACCCATTGATGTTTCTGTTTCTGTCCCTCTCGTTATCCCTCCCTTCTCATCTCTCTAAAAGTAAATAAATCTTTGAAAAAAGGGGAAAAAAAGGAAAGTTCCCTAAGCCCTGCTGAGAAAGGAGACCACATCCTCATGGGGAGGGGCCAGGTGAGACACAAAGCCCACAAAAATCCAGAGTTTCAGATGCTGATGAGTAGTATGACAGAAATAAGCCAGGGCACCCACCATCACTGTGAAGGGTGCGGCTGTATTGCGGACTGGGCGGCAAGGCTTTTGGGAGCAGAGTTGAAGACGGAAGGAGCCGGCAATGGGAGGAGCAGGTGCCGAGGCTCCTGAGGGGCGTGGATCTGAAGTGTGCCTGGTACAACGAGGTGGCCAGGGCAGGGACAGGGACAGGGAAGGGAGGACAAGGAAATGAGGCAGGCAGGGGCCAGCTAGAAGTCTTATCTGGAGGTACTGAGAAACCACTAAGGAGTGATCAGTGATTGGGCCTATCACAAGTTGGCTGGGTGACAGCTAAGGTCTCCTCTGCAGGAGACTCCAGCCCCTGGGAAGAGAGGGTGCCAGGCACAGTCATTTACACAAGGACAGTGAGGACTGTAGATGAGACCTGGCTGCCACCTGCCGTGGGTATCTGGGGAGGGAGACCCAAGATGCGCTGAGACAAGAGGCCCACGTTCGGAGGAGGGCGTGGGGCCTCCAGTCAGGCCCATACACGTACGTTAAGAACCCCCGGGGCGATTTCCCTGGCTGCAGGTTCCAAGTAAATAAGATGTAAAATACAGCTTTTGTGTGTGTGCGCGCCAGTGTGTTGGGGGCAGGGGTGTGGGGGAGGCGGAGCCACAGAGCCCAGTCCTCCCCCTCAGGCAGTCACCACGCTGACACAGGTGCAAAAACCATCAATTTTATACAGTTTGTGGTTCAGAAGCAACAATATGCGAAATGGTGGAACAGCCTGTGCTGCCCCCACCCCACCCCAACATGCCCATTTCTGTCCCCCAAAGGGCAGAGAACCCAGGACCCCTGCCCAGCGGGACCCAACTTACAGGCCCCTGGGAGGGGCCAAGCCCTTAAGGATCAAGACTGGGAGTGAGGGGGAGCAGCATCGTAGGCCCCCTGGGGGGCCCACTGGTTAGATGGACCTGTTTGGGTGTGTGGGTGTGTGTATAGGCGGTGGGGGAACTACCCACAATAGGTCATTTCTCCCCAAGGCCAAGGAGAGCGAGTAAAGCTGAGGAGAGGGCTTCACGGGACAGGGTCACCACCCCCTTGAAGGAGTTTTCCTGCACAGGCCACAAGGCACCAATGACCAGATGTAGGACGGCACACCCCATCTTTGGTCCCCGAACCTCTCCCAACCCCGAGCTTGCCTGGTTCTCCCCTGTGCCAACTCCCACTATGGTTTAGGGAGGAGGAGTAAAGGGGTCTGTGGCCTGGGTTTACTGCTGGGCAGAGACAAGCCAGGAACCTAGCAGGCCCGTTGGGCTGGCAAGGACCCTCTCCCACTGCTCCGGGCTCCTGGGGTCCCTCTCCGGGGCCTGGCGCCAGCCTGACCCCCCAACCCCCCTCTCTTTTTGCACTAGCTGGAACGAATAAATAAATAAATACCTCCCCTCCCCGCCTGCCCCTCCCTTACAGCTGGCTCTCCTCCTCCTCCAGGGAGCGGTTGAGTCCGGGGATGAATTTGAGCAGCCGCCGGCGGAAGCTGCGATACTTGGCTTTGCGCAGGCCAGGGCCACAAAGGGCTTGCTCGCGGGCCTCAGTCCAGAGCGCTCCTGGCGCGCCCCCGCCGCCGCCGCCCCCAGGGCCCGCGCACCGCACGCTGGCGCTGCGGCTCAGCCCTGCCCGCAGTCCGCAGGTCAGGGTCTCAGCTGGGCCCAGGCCCGGAGCGCGGATTGGGGGTGGCGGGGGAGCAGGCGGCTCAGCGCCCTCGAAGAAGCACGTGTGGTAGATGGCATCATCGGGGTCACCCCCAGCCTGCCGTGTGCCCCCACGGGGCGCCCCAGGTGCAGCCAGCAGGGGCCCGAAGGGCAGTGAGCCTGGGAGCAGACCGGCTCCGTACAGGCAGGAGCGCACCGACTCCAGAGTGTCATAGATGCTTGGGTCCTTCACCACGAGGCCTGCCAGGGCAGGAGACAAGAGGGCGGGCCGTCAGAGGGCACAGTGGGAGACCTCAGCGACTTCCTAGTAACCATCTGTGTGGCCCTGGGCAAGTCACAACCCTGAGCCCCACCTCCCTGTCTGTAAAACAGATATGCACTCAAATCCTTATGAGGGCCAGTTACGCCATGAGCCATGGAAGAGATCTGAGACGTGCTCTTTGAGCCTTGGTGTTCCCATCTGTAACATGGAGCTGATACTAATACTTACCTTCAGAGAACTACTGAGGATAAAATAAAAATGTGTGTGCATTAGCCCAGGGTGGCATGGTATCCAGAGTAGTAGCTCAACAAACCTTTCTTCACTTTGGAGGGGGGCAGTAACCCAGCGTTCTTAGGGGAAGCATGGCTGAGGGCGTGAGGGCATCAGTAGGGGCACGAGTTACCCTTCACACCCAGTGTACTCACCATGGACCAGCCGCTGTTCCTGCACCATCAGGGACCTGTATTCTCCCCACTTCTCGTAGAGGGTTTGCTGCAAGAGACACCACCCGCCTCACCGTCAGGAGTCAGCCAGAAACTAGCAGGGGGTGGGTGCAGACTGAGCGAGCAGGGGGTCCACAGAGGAAAACTCGAGGTTAAAAGGTGGTTCGGACAGATACACGACCCCCTGAGAAAGACTGGGGCCTGCAGGGCAGGGGCGCAGGAAGAGGAGGGTAGAAGCTGACAGCCTCTGGGCTGCTTTACCTTGAGGTACTGCAGACGAGCCTCCAGCTCCGCCTTCCGAATTGACGTTCCATACAGAGTTTCCAGCCTGAGGAGGTCGGGGAGTCAGAGGCTGAGTGCGCCCCCCAGCGGAAACACCGAGACAGGCCGAGCTCAGGAGTCACGAGGGCCCTGGCACCTAGACATACCTGAGAACGTTGCCAGATGCCTTAATGATGTCGACGATCTCGCGATGCCGGATGCCTTCCACATTCAGGCCATTGACACTGGCGATGGTGTCCCCTGCCGGGAAGACAGGAGGTCAGCATCTGCTCCATGGGCCATTACAGAATTCAAGCCCCGTACATTAGCCAGAAAGGGGAGGGGTAATAACAACCACTGAATACTCCTGAACTGCCCCCTCCCCCCTCCTCACCGTTATCCGGAGACCTTGTCTAGGCCCAGCACCCCAGCCCAGGGACCAGGGCCCTCATAAGCCAGCACCTTCACTCCACCTTCAGGAAGCCCTGTCCCCAAAGGCTGAGTACCCTGCCCCCCACCCCGCCACCTTGGGCTGCCCCCAGGGTTGGTTATTCCAGTCTAGCCCACAAGCTGTCATGAGACCCAGGCAAGACAGGAAGGGGGCAGGGTGAGCAGCACCAAGCTAAGAACTAGCCTTGCCCCACGCCACTGCAGAGCTTCCTGACCTCAGGCAGGACAAGCCACCATCTCTGAGGGTTCATTTCCCATCTGTAACAAGGGGGTGTGAATCCCTGCTGCGCCTGCCTCGCCTGCCTCGGGGAACAGGAGGGAGAGTTGGTATGAAACTACTTTGCAAAGTTGCAATATACCACTTGGCTACCAGGGGTTGCTGGTAAGTAGGCAAAGGAAGAAAATGGCAGTAGAATGTGGGTGGGGGCGAATTCGTGAAGTTTCAGGCTGCCCCTCCCTGGAACTTGGGATTCTGGATTTGGCCTATCCCAAGGGTCTCCTACTGGAGGTATGATTTCCTAGTTAGAAGATGTGACACAGGTACCCCAGAGTTGGGCCAAGTCAGGAGCAGGATAGGCCCCGATCCCCAAGATCAGGAAGATCTAATGGAATGTTACTCCCTCCCCAGCTCCCGCCCATGCTGGAGTGCCAGATTGCCAGGAGGAGGAGGAACAGCAACGGCAACATCCGGCATTTTCCAGGCCCTGACTCTGTGTCCAGGGAACCCCCTCACCACGCTGTACTGTGAGGACAAGTTACTGTGCCCATTTATTTACCCACGGGACTGCTTAAGGTCACACAGTAAATGGAAGATTCGCCTGAATCCAAAGGCTGGAATCTAGCCATTCTCCTTTCTGGCCTTCTAAGAAATGGGACAAAGAAGGGGAATCGACTGCAGAAGAGGTTTCTCACCCACTCTGCTTGGGAGTAAGGTTATACCCCCTTCCCAGAGCCCCGTGTCCTGAGCTCAGGCCCCACCTGGTGTGAGCCCAGCCCGCTGGGCAGGGCTCGACTCATGAACCCGGCAGACAAAAGTCACCATCTCCACACGCTGCTCCTCCTGATGGTGAAGGCCATACGTCTGTAACAGACAAGGGGACCCTCAGCCCTGGGTTGGCAGGGGTCCATGCATCCCTCAGACTGGCCTCCCAACCCCTCACTTGCTCTGCACCCAGCTTCTCCCACCTGGATCTCAAAGCCGAAGGTCTGGTTTTCCTCCTTCTCCAAAGTCAGCACTTTCCTGCAGGAGACACAGGGGGCCATCTCACCAAGACTGTTAGAGTCCAGAGGGGAGCGTGGCAGTCCCAGAGCGTGGTCCTCCACTGATGCTGGAGTCTGCTCCAGAACACCCAGTCAGGGCTCACTGTCTCCAGCAACAACTCGCTCCCATCACAGGTTACTGGAATGTCCCTCCCCACACCCAGCTGAAATCAGCTTTATCCAGCCGCAGGGAATCAATCCAGCCTCCAGTAGGGGGAGGCACTGGGAATGTCCAGCCCCCAGAGTGGGTGGACTAGCTAAATTTTTCAGCCAGTCCCTCCTTCCTAGGGAGCCCCAGAGCACCACTTACTGAGTAGCTGAGGCTCCAAATTCAGCCCCAGCCTGGAGCCTCCTCCGATCCACAGCCTTGGGGAGAGGGCTGGCCCCACCCCCGGGAGGCCGGTCACGAGGCTGAGCCCAGACCACAGCTGCTCCTCCCAGCTGCAGTGGGGCCAGCCCACCAGATGTGAGGGCTGGGGGAGGGGAGCCTCAAAGCTGCCCCTTCCCGCACTGAAGGCCTGCCCACTGGACACAATGGTCTGGAGCCGCTCCAGGTCCTCGCCTGCTGGGGGAGCCCAGAGTTTCCTCTGCCCACCCCCACCCCCTTCCTTCCCTCCCAGCCAGAGGCAGAGTTAAAGCAGCAGCCAAAGGCCCCTTCGTGTCTCATAACCTCGGAGAGGCCCTGAGACCCAGGTCCCCAGCTCTCTGACTGACCCAGATACTCCCCAAATGCTGGGTAACTCCCAGGCCCAACCTTGAGTTCCTCCCCACTTTGAACCCTCTGTGTGTGCTGGGGCCAGCAGCAGGGTGACTCAGAATTCTGTGTCTACCCCAGTGCTCTCCGGTTTTCTGGAAAGGTTGGCAAACTTTTTCTGCAAAGGCTCAGGTAGTAAGTATTTTAGGCCCGAATGGCCTGTTTGGGCCCATTCGGCCTCTATCGTATATGGCTCTTCGTTTTTAACAACCCTTTAGAAATAGAGAAACAACTCTTAGTTCAAGCGCTGAACAGGCCAATCTGGCCAGCTGGCTATAGCCTGCTGATCCATTTTAGAAGAAGCCAGGCCCAAATCAGGATGGGACACAGCAGAGTCGGGCTTGAGATCAGCACCTGTGTCTGCCCTTGCCTCAGATCCTTCCTGAGGGCTGCCACAGAATGGCACTGAGATTCTGGAAGCAGGGGCAGCCAGACTCCAGCAGCTGGACACAGCTTGTCTATGGTCTGGGCCCTCGGGGGCTTGCTGCAGCTGGGAGGGCTTAGGACCCTGAGGATTTCTCTTACTTCCTCCACCTCCCAGGTCCAGATCTGCCAGGGAGGGGTAATGTGCAGGGACTGGGGGTGGGCTGAGGAGCACCTGATGACTCAAAAGTCCCTACCTCCTTTCTCTGCCACCCCTTCATACAGCCCACACCCCCACCTGCACCTCGGGCCTAGTGAGGGAGCCACGCTGGAAAGGTGGGAGAATGACCACCCCCCCTCCCCAGCTGGGCCGAGATGCTATGTCATGCTGCCCCCACCCTCACCCAGGCACCTCACCCTTTGGACCAGGGCAGGGGCTGGGGTGGCTGTGACTTACCGCTGCTGTTCAGGACTCTGGCTGAGATTCTTCCAGTGGAATCCTGAGCCCTGGGCAGGAAGATGGAGAGTTAGGAAGGAGCAGGTGAGACCAGGGTTATCCTTGAGCAGATGCTGAGAGCCCTATGCTGGGAGGTCCCTCACCTGGTCCCCAGCCCTGGACCCTGGACTCGCTGTGGTCTGGTCCCAGTTCCAAACCTGCTTTGGTGCTAGTGAAACTACTTGCTTCGGTAGTAGTGCCGCCAACGGAGTCACTCCGTGGCTCTCCTCCTAGGCTTTACCCCTGGTGACTGGAACTGCAGGGACGTAACAATCCTCCTGAGGTCCAGAGGCATGGACCACTCAGTCCATGCTGGGGGCCAGGGGTTCCATTAAACTGGATAGGCTAGTCTTCACCCCCAGGGTGCATGTCTGCAAAAGCTCAGGCCTCCCAGACTCCTGAAAAGCCAAGCCGAGGCAGGGGCTCCTCCCAGACATTCCCAAAGAGGGGCAGGGGCCCCCGGGATGGCCTGTCAAGGCACCGCAGAGGCCCCCTGCTAGTCAGGTCTCTCCTCATCTCTCAGTCACAGACAGTAGCTTGGGGAAGCGGGGGTCACGGGCCCAGGCCTGGAGGGCCAGGAATCCCAGCCTGACTGTGTGCGAAGGCAGGGGACAGAGGGGCCAACTACTTCCTCCACAGTCTAGGCTGTTTCAGGGACCAGCTGTGCCCAGCCCCGCCTGGATCTCTCAACATTGCCATATGTTTGCTGCTTTCTGGGGCAAAAACTCTTAGATCTCAAACATGTCCTAAAGTCTCACTATACTAAGGAGGGTGATTGGGAGTTCTTTTTATTTTGTTTTTCTCTGGAGGGGGGAATGACAGAGCTGAGGGTTCCTGCCTCTTTAGGGCCCTTGAGAAACTCAAGCAGTCTCCTTCCCTAAATGATTGGCCCTTGGAAGAAGCCCTGTCCCAGATCAGCCCTGGCCCATGTGCCCTGCAGAGCCCAGGGCCTTCCCATTGGTGCCCTTGTGAACCCTCCTCCCAGGCTTCCCCAAGGCTAGGAGGATAAGGGGGCCCTCTTTTTCCAGGACAAACAGCTGGCCTCAGGGGTGAGGACAGTTCCCAAATGGGCCAGGGAGGAAGGACCCGGCAGCACAGAGAGAGAGACCCCTTTGTCTTTCCACCCTATTTTCATAAAATGCAAATTCTCAACAAGCTGTTCATTGTGTGGGGGGGAGTCAAGGGCCAGAGAAGGAGGAGGGGGACAGAGCGAGGAAAGGCCACCAGCTCCCTTTCCTTAACCTGGGTCCCGGGCCCCCCTTCCGAGAGCACGGGTTTCCCTCGGGCCAGAGGAAGAACCGGCGGAGGAGGGGAGGCTCAGAGGGCGGGTGCGGCCCGCATCCTTCCTGCCCCGCGGGCGCCCTGCGACCCCTCCTACCGCGTCCGGTCCCAGCCGACGTCCAGGGAGCAGTGACCTCGCACCACACACCTCAGACACCTCAGACGCAGGGCCAGGCGACAGGCCCCGAGCCCAGGCATCCAGGCGTCCCCTTGGAGGGGCAAATGCTCTCTCGGACTGGGTGCATCCACTGCCCTCCCTCTCCAACCGGGACGCTCGGACCCAGCGAGCAGCGGGCCCGGCTCTCCCTCCGCCTCCCTGTTCCAACTGAAGGAGCCGGGGCGAGGGGTTCTTGAGGTCTCGAGATACCTGGGCGCGGGGAGGCGGGGCGCGGGGCGAACAGGCCAGATGGACGAGGAGAGAGGGTGCTGGGGGGTCAGGAGGGAAAGGAGCCAGACGGGGCGGCGGCGCGTGGGGGGCGGAACGGAGAGCCCCCAGATCTGGCGGCGTGGAGGTGGGGGCCTGGGGGCCGGAGGCTGGCGCCTTCCGGAGAGGGCCGAGGGAACTGAGCAGGTTCTGAACGTAGCCGTGGGGGTCCGAGGGCTGGGCAAGATTGTGGGGAACTCTGACCACGAGCAGAAATGTTGTGGAGGTCAACGGGGGAGGGGGGCGACTGGGGTTCAGCCTGCACAGATGGGGGATGTTGCGAGGTTGAGCGGGTCTGGAGAAAGGGGCACTAGGGGTGAGGAGGGGGGGCCGGTGTCGCGGGAGTTGGAAGAGTGGAGGACGCACCTTTCGGCGGGGCAGGGTACCCCCGGACACGGCGAGCGCGCGATACAGCTCGGCGGGGTGATAGTCCTCCAGCGCAGCGTACAGCTCGTCCCCGGGGGGCCCAGGGCTGGCGGCTGCGGCAGGGGGGCCGGAGGCCGAGGTCCGGGCCGGAGCGACTTCGGAGTCGGGAGCCCGGGTGGCCGCTGACGCCTCCTCCTTCGGTTGCAGTTTCCTGAGTCGGCGGAGGGTCATGGCTCCGGCGCCCCGCGCGGCGGGGCTGGCAGCAGCTCGGGGATGCCAGCCAGGCGGGTGGCTAGCCGCCTCCCTTTATAGGATCTGCTGGGCAGACCGGGGGTGCGGACGGGGAGCGGCCTCCGATGGCCTCGCCCCCAGGACCACAGGCCCCGCCTCCAGGGGGGGGCGGCGCTGCCCGGAGCCCGACTCCCGCCCAGGCTGGGGAAGGTCTCAACCGGGGGAAACCTAGTCGTCGCGGAGGGGGTTGGGAACCACCGAGGCACCCCGGGGCGGGGCCAGTGATACCTGGGGGCGGGCAGGCTGGAGGTGGTCTATGAAGGGGCTTGTGCATGAGATTTGAAAATTTGGGGATGGATAGCTTTGGAGACTCGTGGAACATCTGGTGGTGGATGGACAGTGAGGGACCATCGTGAGGAGGTTTGGAGACCCAGGAGAAGATTCTACGAAACCCTCGGGCTGCAGGAGACTTCAGGCAAGATGAGAAGCAGCATGGCTGCGAAGAGGGAGGGGTGTGGTACCTGGGGAAGAGATGCCCCTGAAAGGAGGAGTGAGAGGGCCCAGGTTTCCCCTTTACACAGCTGCCCCAGCAGAAGTGAAAGAGGCTCCCCCTTTTCCCAAGTCAAGGAGAAAGAGAAGGGGTGGAAACCCAGAAGACAGAGGGCTTAATTCTGGCCTGTCCCCTTGTGGGGGAAGGAGTGCTCCCTCCCGAGGAAACCTCTCCTCAGCTCTCCGTGTCAGAGCTCCCAGCAGACAGATCCTTACTACGGAGCTGACTCATGGGGAAGGGGATGTGCGTGATCAGAGCAGGTGCTGAGGGTTGGCGGCGTGCTCAGCTGCTTTCTGACACTCTTAGGGGCCATCCCCCTGGGAGAGGTGGGGATGGCCCAGCTGAAGTCTCTGTCGTCAGTGGTGGCTGAATAAGAAGTGAGAGGAGGAAGTGGAAGGCCCCGCCTAGCGTATGACTAGCAGGTACCCACCACAGGGCGCTAGCACCACATCAGCCACCAAACAGAAGCTAAGGCCAGGGATGCACTGTCCCTGACTGTCCCTCCCCCTCCCATCTTCCCAAATCTGCTAGCCTTTCCAGCTCACATTCACTGAGCATTTATCCCGTGTGGGGCACACGGTTCTGTATGTGCTTTCACATACACAAATTAACTCATTTGGTTCTGATAACAACCCTTTGAAATAGGTATCATTATCATCCCTGACAGATGAGGAAACTGAGGCCCAGGGAGGTTAAGTAACTTGCTCTAGCTTACTCACTGGCAGAGCTGAGGTCCGAACCCAGGCAGCTTGATTCCAGGGCCTGCAATCTAACACGGTGTCATGCTGTCTTCTCCAGTTCTTCATTCTTTCTACATTTACCCTGCTCCGCGCCAGGTCCTGGCTAGGCTCAGGGGTTACAGAAGCCAGGTGCCTGCACAGGTGCTGCGTTACACACCTGGCATGAGGAGTGCAGAGGGGCAGGTAGCCACATCCACTTGAGGCAGCCGGGAAAGGCTGACTCCTCTGTCATTCACAGGTCTGTCTCCTTGCTTCCTCGTCTCCTTGACTTTCTACATCTGTCTCTCCCCCACCCCCAGGCGCCTGGGGCCCCCGCCCTGCAGGAGGTGTGGGTGGAGGGGGTGCTTCTCCATCCCTCAGTGATTACGCAGGTCCAGATGGCAAGATGGGTGTTGGATGAGGGGCAGGGGTGGACTGGAGACTGCCAGGAGTGAAGAGCCAAGTCCCTTAGTGTCTTCCTCTCCCTCCTCCCACCTCTCCCCCTTGGCACCACCAAGTGGCCATCAGCTGAGGGGCTGAGGGGGTGTCGGTGGGGAAACATGGGACTATTGTGAAGCATTAGCACAGATGGACCCCTGGACCGTCTGCTGCCTGGGCCCGACAGACGGCATCTGTGCTGGGGGTGGGGTAGGGGTGGGGAGGCGAGCAAAGGCAGGAGAGGCAATGGTTCTGTTCTCTGCACTCCTGTGCTTATGCCTGAAAGAACCCACAAAAGAGCATCTTGCGCGTCTTCCGGGAAGGGCCATCAGCCTACCTACCCAAAAGGGCTACCTAACTGACACCTCCCTGCCTGAAACCTGGAGAAGTGGACGCCGTGGGTATACAGCACCTGTGTGTAAGGTGGTCCTGCTGAGATATTCCTCCGTCGGCTGAAGAGGAGCAGAGACGTCCCCTCGGCATGCAGGTCAGGCGGCCTCCCCGCCTCCAGGTGAGAGACCACCACCAGAGGAGGTCACGCACGTTCCCTCCTCCTGCCAGGCAGGGAGCCCTGGAGAACCCCAGAGGAAGGCTGGGCCCGGAGAGGCAGTTTCTGTCAGCCCCAGTGCATGATCCCCCAGAATCCTGGAATTTCAGAGGTGGGAAGGGTCTTATGGTCTGAAAGGATGCGGTGAAGCCCTCTCTTAACAGAGGAGACACACGAAGCCAGGAAGGGAAAGACGGTGGCAGGGGGGCACTACAGCTCCTACATCCCAGGGCTCCTGCCTCCAGAGGCTGTTTGATTCAGCCACCGGCAGCTCAGAGACTGGCGCCTGCTTCTTCCCCCGAACTCCCCCATTTCTCCAGGGAGGTGATGGGAGCCCAGGATGTCCCACTGCGGGGCCGTGATGCCCTCTGGTGGTCATGAATCTCTTGGTGGAAAACCTTCTAATCAGACTGAAGGGCTGGTGCCAGGACTCCATCTGGAAGTGGATGGATCCCCCACAACTCCTGGGGGGTGGGTGGGTAGGGGGAGCACGCTGCACACTGCCAGCACCTTCATACCAGGGCACACCTTCTCCTCTCTCCTCTCTCTGGGAATCCTTGAAAAAGCCCCATCGCTCCAGCTCCTCAGACATCTGTGCTCAACCTGTACTTTATTCCCAACAGCAAGTCCCTGGCTCTCAGAACGAGCTCCTCAAGTTTGGCTTCCTTTTGCCCCAGCTGCCCTGGCTCCCAGCTCTCGGGAGGGGGCTTGGCTTGTGCTGGGGGCAGACACAGCAGGGGCTCGGCTAATGGACAAGGCCAAGGTAAGACCCCCTTCTCTTAAGCCCTTGCCCAGACACTGAACAGCCCACAGCCCCCATGGAGGAACTGGGGAGAGCTGGATTTTGCCCCCAACAACCTGTTCAAGCTCTAGGGAATTTGGGGCCCTTGGGGGGTGAGCTCCAGACGCTCCGGCCCCTGTGGAGTCTTGCTCAACATCAGAGCTCTAGTAGTCATTTCATCCCAGAGCTGGGAGGGATGGCCCGTCTGCCACTTGGGCTCCGCTCTGGGTGCTGCCGCTGCTCCTCAGTGGGGGAGGTGGGGAGCGACGGCCTGGGGCTCAGCTGGCTCTCCGGTCAGGAATGAGGGGCTGGGCCCCCAGCTGCACAACCCTGGGGGAGGCGTGGACAGCCGGCGGGCAGCTGACGGGCAGGGAGCGGCTGTTCTTCTGAACGACTGCTGCTGCTCAGGCCCCCACGGGGTCATGTCCGGGGGCGGTGCTGGGGCTGGGGGAGCCTGGCAGCAGAGAGGGGACCCGTTACAGCTCGGACTTGATTCTAGGGGGTCTGGGAGCAGAGCCAGGCAGACGTGACAGTTTATCTCTATCGGATATGGCTGGCCTCCTGAGTCTTGTCCCACCCAGAGGCCAGGGACCATCTTGCCTCTTGGGCTGGGGGTGGCAACGTGTCTCCAGCTTGAACAGGGCAGTCTGGTCGAAGGAAGGGAGGGTTACCTCTCCAGCTGTCCTTACAGTGCCACTCCTAGGGCAGAGGGCATGCGCTGTTTTACCTTGCTTCATTGCAGAACAGGTACAGCTAGGACAGAAAGCCACAGTTCTCGGGGCCCCACGTGTGCACCCTCTTGGGGGTTCACCCCCGTCCCTTCTCCCAGGGGACAGCGCCATGCACCAGGCTGATTCTTCTGTTTACTGTGAACTGGCCGGTGCCCCTCTCCCTTGCTGTCTGCATTTGCTCGCACCCCAAACCTGTCCCTTCTACCAGCAGTCTCCCCGTCCCCCAGCTGCCCCTGCCACCGCCACTGCAACTGAAGTCAGCACTGCGATTGTCCCTGAACAAGTATACGATCCCATCACTCCCTTGGTGAAAACCTGGCTTTAAATAGCCTATTCCCTACATGAGGAATGACGGAGAGGTTTTAGGGGACAGCTCCACATAAGCATGCTGTTGAGAAACATTTGGAGGCCAAGTCTAGACTCGAAAGGAAAAATCGCTGGCAGAGGAGCACCTGTCACAGGGGACGCACCGGCACTGGTGGCCCCCAGGGTGAAGTCTTGACTTCTGAGCACACGACAGCTCCAGCTCCGGCAGACTCCCTTCCTCCAGCCGCGCTGACCCTCTGTGGTTTCTGAGTGGTGACACACTCCTTCCCGCTAAACCCCCTCCCCTTCGCCATCAGCAGGCCAGTGTCTGCTCCAAAACAGACGAGATGTCGCTTCTCTTGGCCCACTGTCATCTGTCCTACGTTCCCAGAGCCTTCAGTGTCCGCCCTCTCACGGCATTTACTTCAACCCACTGCAGTCACCTATTCACCAGTCTGCGGCATCGGCTAGGGCACCCCTGGGGCGGGCACTGGTCCTCTATTTCCCCAGGCACATCCTCCGTGCCCCCGCCACACAGTACGTATTGCTCTGTGACGGAACTTTGCCAAGTCTGCCTTTTTGTTCTATCTGTACAAACCCTCTGTGTCCAGAAGAGCAGGGGCCAGACTGTTCGTTCTGCCTACTGCTCGACACTCTAAGGTTGCTCAACAAATGCTTATTTGATGATAATCTATTTAGAGTCTAGTCTATCCAATCCCTACCCCATTAGCCCCATTCTTGGCTTTCAAGTCCCATCCCCAGACAGAACCAGGACTACCTGCCCTGTTTCTTAAATCCCCCCTGAATGACCATGGGAAGCCCACTGACTTTCAGGTGGGTATGATGCCCATTGTTTGGTCAGATGCCAATCTGGAAGTTGCTGTAAGGCAGGGGTGTTAAACTCATTTTCACTGGGGTCCACATCAGCCTCCCAGTCGCCTTCAAAGGGTTGAATGTAATTTTAGGACTGTGTAAATATAACTGCGCCTTAACTAGGGGCAAGGAGCTCGGTGCTGCTGCCTGGCAGAAACAAGGTGCCCAGCCGGGTAAAACAAGGTAACAAGGTAGAGGGCCAGATTCTGCCTGCGGGCCTTACTCTGCCACCTGTGCTGTAAAGGTTTGCTTTAGGTGTGATTAGCATTTAAACCAGTGGTTTCAGCAAAGCAGATTACCTTCTGAATGTGGACCGGCTCCATCCAACCCGCAGAAAGCCCTCACAGGCTGTGGTCCGGAGGGGGAGGGGGAGGAATCCTGCCTCCAGACGGCCTTCCTTCGGACGCAAGGCGGCGACATCAGTGCCTGGCTGGCGCTCTCACTTGTCGGCCTGGTTTCAGACTTGCCAACCCCCACAATCACGAGTCCATTTCTTAAAATATCTCTCTACCCATGGTATTGGTTCTCTTTCTCCGGAGAACCTTGACACACGGTTCCTGGCTGGATCCGAAGCTCTCTTCCTGCCGCCCTCTCTGTGCACCCCTCACGTGTCCCTGGGTGTCTCTTGATGCTGCCACCGGACAACTGATTTTGTTTTGATTGTACTGAACAAGCACGATTTCCAGACTGCCACGATCAGAAGACGCGGCCCAGAGGAACAGACTTCAAATGTGTGTAATAAAAGCCCAGGCACACACCGGTCAAATGAACTCAGGTCTCCTGTATTGGGCCCTATAAAGGTGAGACCCTGTTAGTAACCTTCAGGGGCACATGAAGAGGTACCAGAATGGCTGGCATTCTGATTTCCAGAATGAAGCTGAACCTGCAGCCCACAGCCTAGTGAAAAACCGTAGACCCATGCCTGCAAGACGACTGTCTTTTGAAGTCAGTGAGATTAGCTACAGGCCCCCTGTCCTCAGACTGACAGGTGCATCCAAGAGCTGCGGCCGCCGTCATGCCTTGCCCCTCCGGCAAGCTACCTCAGC